GAAAAATTGCATGTGTGTGGATACCATTACAAAACATTTTATCAGTTATTTGAAAATGTAAAATTTGTTTTGTCTGCTCATTTTGCATATTCCTGATAAATAACTAACATTTTATTTCAGGTGGCGATTTGGGAGGAATAACGCTTCAAATTCTCAGTGCGCTTTATCCGAAGTCGGTGCTAGGATATCACACCAATTTCCCCGTAGTATACACTTTGAAAAGTTATATTAAACCGATTTTAGGAGTGTTATATCCGTCCTGGATTGTAAAGCCCGAACACTACGAGAGGGTTTACCCTCTTAAAGATCGTGGCTTGTTTATATTCCGTGAAAGTGGATATTTTCATTTGCAAAGTACAAAACCAGATTCACTAGGTATGTAATTAGTTGTAATTGAAGGGTCCAGATGAATAAGCTAACTTGATAAGCGCCAATTTCCCAATTTTAGGATTTTACAATATTATAGTAGATCTAATTGGTTCCTACAAAATGTATAATCTCTGCAGGGCAATAAGTTGCTAAATTCTATGATATATGCCTAGAAAAAAATATAGAATACACGGAAAGAACCTGATAACCACCAGCCGTCCAGTGCTCTCCTGTAAAATTAATAAAATGGCGCTTGTCATGTTTTTCCCCTGGACCCTTCAATTGTTCTAATAAATTATAAAAATAGAATAGATAAAACTTTCTGTATGTTCTTTATAAATAAGTTATTAGTCTCAAATTATACTGTATGATCGAGAAAAAAACGGCGTCCAGTTGGCTGGGAAATGATGATCAATGACATTTCTCATATAAATTTACATATAAAATGACAGCGATCTTCGTTTCATAGCCCTCGTTGACGCCGTTTTTTTTATCATACGGTATTATAAACCATACAATCGAAAAAAACGGCTAAAATCAAAAACGGGTAGGGAATGAAAATCAGTGATAATTTTGGCGAGGTCAAGCTCTAGACATCGTTTAGTTCGAGAAAACAATTTTTGGAAAAAGATTTGTGTATCGGGAAATGGGGGGGGTCCTAGTGTTTTTAATTTTTCTATAATTAGTGTTAATCTTTGAAAAGTTTTATGTAAATTTTTAGTAAATAGCGTCTAGCGATTGACCTCGCCAGAATTATTATCGATTGTCATTCCCCAGCCGTGTTTGACTGTGTTTCTTTCGATCATACGGTATAAACACATAACATTTTATAGAAACTGTTCATTAAAAGTATTTTTAATTTGTACATACAATTTAAAATTTTATTTAGACATAAAACCGAATAATTTACGTCAAGGATACTTCCAGGTGTGCATTCAATTTAAAAATAATCCCCTAAATTTCAGGTTATACGGGAAGTGGCTGCCATTTGTGTATTTTAAATAAGATATATGTATATTTTGTGCGTTTTGGATCCTACATAAATGTCTAAACTTATTTTGTGTCTGATGTTCTTAAGAGTCCATTTCACTAGTCCGAAAAAGTAGCAAAAGCGTTCGGCATTTAACTTTTTATGTAAAAGTGGCTAGGTATTTTTACACCAATAAAGAAGAAAATTAAAGGTAAAGGATTATACTATATCCGCATTGTAGCACACCTTTAAACAACTTCTTTATTTTTAAGATTTTGATGGTCAAACATCAACAAAATATTCCTTAGGTTTGGACTAAATTTTCTCGAAAATAAAGACATGATCCAAGATTCTGTTATAAATACGGAAATAGATTGAAGTTTTGTAATTACACTGATATATAATTTATATGGTTTTGTAACAAATTTGCTATTTTATGGCAAATGCTGAGGCTCTGCAAACCTTAATCAAGCCTTAATCAAAGCACGTGTATTTGGAATTTTGGGCTTGGCCAAAGAATATTATAATTTAAGGTATTAAGATATTCTTTGGCCTGGCTTAACGCGACAGGATCGGGCTAAACCTTAGGCAGATTTCTGAAATATAATATACAGGGTGGTCCGAACTGTACTCCGGAAACTTTGGCAGCATATTCTGCAGATAAAAATAAGTAAAAAAGTTCGTATAAATATATGTCCTAAAATGCTTAGTTTCGGAGATACAGGGTGTAGAAGTTTCATTTTTATTTTGATTTTTTCCAAATAATTTATGAAGTAAGGTCAATATCTGGATGAAAATTGAGGTCTGGGGGTTTTGTGACACGATAAATTTGATTTTGATGTCAAAATGACTCCTATTTGTAAAGTGCGCCACCTACATGTGTTTTAATTGTTTTGAAGAGTAATAACTTTTTGTCCGTACCTGTATAAAACTACTGACTATAAAAAATATACATTTCCATGACTTTCTACGTAAAAAATGTCTCTTGATAAAAATCGCTACGAGCAACCTCAAGATATTTAAAATGGAAATAGTTAATAGATATCATTATTGACAATTATATTATATTATTTTAAATTATTATTATATTAATCATAAATTTTTCTGCGGAAAAATTATGATTAAACAGTTTCTGTTAAACTTTTGGCACAAAAAGTTTCAAATTTATGATTTCAGTCTAATAACTATTTAGTCAATATATTTAATTTATGTCAATGATGACAGATATTGATAATTTTGATTCCAAATATCTCAAGAACCATTACTCGTAGCAATTTTTACCAAGAGACTTTTTTTATGTAAAAAAGTCGTAAATGTATATCCTTTTACTCAGTAGTTTTATACAGGTATGGACGAAAATTTATTACTCTTCAAACCAGTTATAAAATATGTAGGTGGCGCCCTCTACAAGTAGGAGTCATATTGACATGAAAATCAAATTTCTCATATCAAAAAACTTCTAGACACCAATTTTTATCCAAATATTGACGTTACTTCATAAATTATTTGGAAAAAATCGAAATAAAAATGAAACTTCTACACCCGGTATCTCCGAAACTAAGCATTTTAGGACATACATTTATAAGAAGTTTTTTACTTATTTTAATCTGAGGAATATCCTGCCGAAGCTTCCGGAATACAGTTCGGACCACCCTGTATATTTCTTTCGGCCACATACCCGCTTTTACCCGACCCCTGAGAGCGACTCGAAAGTACAGCGTAACAGACTCTTAAGGGCTCAAACGCACTTTATTCTTCAGTTTTTAGTTTTCTACAACGAATCAATCGCTCGGTCGGCTTACGTAAAAAATTGCTAGTTATCAAAATTATTGCCTATTAAATTATCTAACATAAAGGTGTATATAAGAGCATGATTTGAATAATCCAGTGATGTGCAGTGAGGGCTCAAAATTCCTTAAACTTATTTACGTTGCTCAAATTCATGATTTCTAATGACATATAATGTACACATTTATTTTTAAGACAATAAAATATTAAAGCATTGTAAAATATTTATACAAGTAATTAATAGTTTTTTTTCCAGTGGCGTGCAACATGTACTTAAAAAATTAATGCGTACCATGTTTCACCATGTTTCAAAAACAAGTTAATTGCCCTGGAGTAATAGTAATCCATTCAGATTTTTATTTAAATAATATTCTAAAATATTTTTAATGAACGTTGTATGAAAAAACATGTATATAATAATGACAAATAAAAAAAAACATTATTTATAGGAGTTGCAATGGATAACTCACCCGAAGGTATGGCGGCGTATTTCCTAGAGAAATTTATCACAGGTTCCAATTTCACCTACATCAACAAATTTAGTTCTAAAGATCTAAAAGAGAAATTTAGTTTTACTGGTCTCATCGATAATCTTATGCTCTATTGGGTCACTCAAACAGCCTCATCATCTTTTAGAATGTACTTCGAATCATTTGAGGATGGCTTTTGGACTGACAGTATAGCTTTAATGAGGTAGGTACAGTATAATAAAACGAACACAATAGCTCACTAAACAAGTTACTATAAGTACTACCCTTGTACTACATATTTTAATGATAATAAAGTGTCGACATATTCACCAGGGACGTGCATATGGGTGATCACTAGGATATTTAAAAAAAAAACATGTTCGTCACTGACTTTTTTTTTATCTTGTTAGCAAAATTAGGTAGACTGATTAACGCCGATTATAAGCTGTCTTTATTTTTGGGTCTCCTTGATGATACATGCAATTTTATTAATTTGCCTTAATCCAAGTCTGATAGCAGCCTTTAAAAAAATCTGATGTCATTAACTGGCCAAAGTATTAAATAAGTTGTTAACTGACTTTTAGATTCTAAAAATATGAAAAAACTCCTTATAAACACAAGTGCGGAAATGTATAGTTTTAAAGTTACATGCAGGACGTTAAAACTTTAAAAAGTAGGCTTTTTGTAATTAAACCTTTATTAAATAATAAATAATTAATAATCTTAAATACCATTATTTATTTCATGAATTTGCTGTAGGTAGCACTGAAGACACACACAAACACACACACATCTGTGTTGTATATTTTAATAATATTTAATAACAAAATATATTAAAAAAATTATTTATTAATTTTATTTTCATTTTAATTTAACAAGAAAAAAAAGTTAATTGCGCACATGTTTTTTTTTAGAAACTTATTCCAGTGATATAACCCATGTGCACGTCCCTGAAAACAGGTCGACACTTATAGTATCTTTTATCCCTAAAATATAGAATAATTTACTGGTTTCGTTTTACAATGAGTCAACAAATGACTATTAGTTATTAAAATAAGTCAAATTTACGTATCCTAATTAATTTTGACAAGTAGTAAATAAATGGCAAAATAAAAACAATAATTCGCCACAATACACCAAAACACTTTACTTTTGCAATGGACCCGCGTTTCGCTAAACCATGTTAGCATCATTATCAGCTGATGATGCTAACATGGAAAGCTTTATTTTATTAATCGTATTTGGTATATCCTTTCCGCCAAATGCATTTTCACTTTGTCAAATTCGCGAGATATCATCTTATATTTGACGAGCTGTACAGTATGTCCCCGG